ATTTTTGCGAATTTCAAAAAATACACTTTGATCATATTTAGATCCCCTCTCATATGTGGATCTCCACCTTATTAACCATCAACCAAATTTCCTGTACTCTAATATATATAATATATGTATACATAATATATAATATATGTATATATATAATGAGAGAGAGAGAACGAGAGCGAGAGCAAGAGTGAGAGTGAGAGAACCAGAGCCAGGTCTGTGTCCTCAAATGACTTTTGGTGTGGGTTCATCTACTGGAGCCTGGTCAACCTATTAAGAGTCTCACTTAACTGAGACTGAATCTCCCCTTCCCAGCTGCCATTGGTTGCCAATAGTTCCTCAGGTAGGGTTGAGTTTGTTTTTATTCACTTCCCCATGTCTACGCTGGGATTTTGTCTGGCTTGAGCTTGCTTGGGACTTGTGCATGCTGTTACCATTGCTGTGAGTTCATGGGAGTAACTGACCAGCTTTCTGGAAGACTGTTTCCTTGTGATCATCTACCTTCTCTGGCTTTTACAATCTTTCTTCCTTCTCTTCCACAATGATCGCCCAGGGACTTTTTGATTTCCCTATAGTGACTCAATTGATCTTACAACAGACCCATAGACTAGTTATAATTATAAGCTCCCATTTTTAAGACAAAGAAGCTGATTTGGGGAGATGTTAAATGATTTGCCCAAGGTGACAGAGCAAGTTGGTGTCAGAGCCAGGACTTGAAGCCAAGGTCCTTGCTCTAGAAACCCCACTTTTAATTTCTATGCTATCTTTGATCCTGAGTGCTGGTGTGTGTGTCTTCTAGATACACATGCTATTGTGGTTGATGATAACCTTGAGGCTCAGTATTACCTTCTTTAATATAGAGTGTCATTTAATTTTGCATGTGACATTTTTTATTATTATTCCAAAGAGAAGCAATTTTTAGCACATTTTTCCAGAAATAACTTGAAGCAGGTTACATAAAAAACTATATATATAATGGCCAGGCGTGGTGGCGCATGCCTGTAGTCCCAGTACTTGGGAGGCAGAGGCAGGTGGATCTCTGTGAGTTCAAGGCCAGCCTGGTCTACATGTTAAAGGCACTTGTGAACACCCCGCTCCCCACCACAACACACACACACACACACACACACACACACACACACACACACACACACAGAGTGATGTTTAAGAGGGGGAAAATAAGAATAAGATATCAAAGACCAAAGGATTTGCCAACAAGGGGTCAACTTTGGTGGAATAATGAAGTTTTCCATTAGCTCTGTTTTTTTTTTTTTTTAATCCTAAAGAATTTATTGGGTTTGCTAACAGAGTATGGGGGGAAGTGTAACACTCCACCCCTTCCTCTGGCTTTTACATTCTTTCTGCCAACCTCTTCCTCAAAAATCCCTGAGCCTTGGAGGGGGTCATAGGTGTGGGATGATCTTCCTTCTACTGTAGCAAGGCCCTGAACTTTTGGGTCTCTGCATCATCTGTTTTCCATGGGATGTTGACCCATTTCAGTGGAATTCCATATACTATAAAAACACACAGCAAGAAGAAAGAACATCTAAACAGTGGCTGATTTAAAACTTTATGTATGGACATAAACACAAATGCTTGGATGATACTTTAGCAGGTGAATCACATACATCCATCTAACAATTCCAGTGGCTTTCCCACTGGGGCCTATATCCTCTCCTGCCACAGGGGGTTGGCCTGGTCTACAGTACCAAATATGTGTTCCACCTCTAGGAGTGGACATTATATCCAATCAAAAATTTGCTGGTTGTACACACATTAGATGCTCCACTATTGCACCAGCAGGAACCTCTTTTTGGTATGTTGATAGTGCAGCACGTGGAGTCCATCATTGAGCAGAATTATAGAGGACAATTCTCCCCCAGTCATCTGCATATCGCCTTCTGGCACCATGAAAGCCACCCATCCAGTGGCAGGGAGTTTCCAGCTTAGTCCAAGCTTGGGGTTTTACACTTTAACACTTTTGGTGTACAACCAACGTTATTGGCAATGGCCTTTATTGTTTTGGGGATCTGTAGCGCCCCTCTGGACAGCAGCTCATGGGGAGCCATGCACTTCTGGCACTGAGATTTTCATTTAACAACTGTGTGGGGTTCTAGTAGGGCGTTCTCCTATCTCCGTAGGGTTCCTTCTGTGCTTAAGGCTCCCCCCTTTATTCCCATTGTTCTTGTATAGCCCTTCTTCTCCTCTTCTTTTTCATATTTCTCCCTTGGTAACACCTTTCTCCTACTATTCTTCTCTCTTGGACTCCTTCTTTCCCTTTACCTCCCTGGTTCCCTTCCATATTCCTTGTTTCTACAGTTACATCTGGATACATACTCACTTATAAGGATTTGGTGCTAGGATCCACAAATGAGGGAGAACATATGTCTTTTGTTTTTCTGAGTCTGTGTTACTTCACTTAGTATAACAGTTTCTAGATTCATCCATTTACCTGCAAATTTCATTGTTTCATCTTTCTTTACTGCCGAGTAGAACTCCAGTATGTAAATGTACCACATTTTCATTAACCACTAGTCAGTTGAGGGACATTTAGGTTGCTTCCATCTCTTAGCTATTGTGAAAAGAGTAGCAACAAACATGGTTGTACAAGTGTCTCAGCAATAGGATGAGTCCTTTGGGTGTATGCCAAGGAGTGTAATAACCAGATCATATGGTAGGTTCATTTTTAGTTTTTTAATAGTTCTCCACACTGCTTTCCATAGGGATTGCATGAGTTTGCAATCCTACCAGCAGTGAATGAGCAGTCCCCTTTCTCTACATCTTTGCCAGCAAATTTGATATCATTTATTCTCTTGGTCTTAGCCAGTCTGACTAGGGTAAGGTGAAATCAAGGTGGTTTCAATTTGCATTTCCCTAATTACTAACGATGTTGAATGCTTTTTTTTTTTTTTTTTTTGAGGCAGGGACTCCCTGTAGTCCCAGCTGACCTGGAACTCACTATGTAGACCAGGCTGGCCTGTAACTCAGAGATCTGCCTGCCTCTGCCTCCCGAGTGCTGGGATTAAAGGTGTGTGCCACCACGCCCGACTGAACACTTTCTAAGCTGTTTCTCAGCCATCTTCACTTTCTTCTTTGAGAACTCTCTGTTTAGACCTTTAGCCCATCTTTTAATTGGGTCATTTGTTTTCTTGCTTCTTTGGTTTTTGAGTTCTTTATATATTCTGGAGGTTAAGCCTCTGTCAGCTGTGTCACTGGTGAAGATTTTTTCCCATTCTGTGGGTTTTCTCTTCACTTTCTTGATTGTTTCTTTTGCTGTACAGAAGCTTTTTAGTTTAATGAGGTTCCATTTGTTGATTATTGATCTTAATTCCTGAGCAACTGGTGTCCGATTTACAAAGTCCTTTCCTACACCTATATCTTGTAGGTTACTGCCAATGCTTTTTTCTAACAGTTTCAGTTTTGAGTTTCGTACTGAGGTCTTTCATCCATTTGGAGTTGACTTTTGTGCAAGGTGAAAGAAAAGGATCTAGTTTCATTCTTCTACAGGTGGAGATCTAGTTTGGTCAGCCCCATTTGTTGAAAATGCTGTCTTTCCTCCATTGTGTGTTCTTGGCACCTTTGTCAAATATCATGTTGCTGAAGTTGCATGTACTCAGGTATGGGTCTTCAGTGATGTTCCATTGATCTATGTGTCTATTTTTGTGCCAGTAAATGCTGTTTTTATGAATATAGCTTTATAGTCTACTTTGAGATCTGGTATAGTAATCCCCCCAGTATTGCTCTTTGTGCTCAGGGTTGCTTTGGCTATGCAGGGTCTTTTGTACTTCCATACAAATTTAAGGAAAGTTTTTTCTAATTCTGTGAAGTATGTCATGGGGAATTTTTTAAAATTGTTACAAAAACTTTATTGAGAATTTCATACATGAATCTAAGGTGTTTTGATCAAATCCATGCCTACTCCCTTCCCTCCAACATCACCCCCTCTGAAGAGGTAACCCTAAAATCTTTTAAGGGATTAGATACAAGCTCCCAAATACTTTCAACATTTTTGGCCTTTGGAATAGAGTATGTTGCTAAAAGGCCCAAGGACATTGTAACTTTTAACCAAGAAATGGGCTACATTTCTTTGGGGTCTTTTTACCCTAACTGCCTAGCCAATTCCTACCTCCTATTCTTATCATGCCATCCTATGAAGGGGTTGCCCAAATTGCCAATAGGGAATAGGGACGCTGACAGCTCTGGCTTATTTATGCTGAACATGGACTCAGGGCGAGGCAATTGGGGTACCCCTTCAGTGGGTCTATCTAAAAGATTCCCAAATTGTATAACTCTTGTCTCTAAGGGAGAAGAAAGTCCTTGAATCATGAATAGGAGATGGAAAGAAGTAAAGGCAAGAGTAATTAGCATTACAAGTTCTAGACAGGGAATTAGAAAAAAGTTAGAACAGGGCAATTTTCAAATGTTCATATGAGAGTCCATTGGAATTTCTTGACAGGGACTTCCAAAAACATCCCTCTATTGGGTTCTTGTTCATTTTTCCTTTGTCTTCTAAGGCTGGACTAGCTGGCTGGGACAAGTGGCTGGATACTCAGGTGAGGGTCCAGT